CAGCACGTACAAGGTTTCCCTCACTGTGATACAGTGTAACTTGTGCAATTCTAGAAGCCACTTAGGCAAGTATTTTTCAGAAAGAAAGGGGGCAAGTGCTGGGGGAGGCTAGGGGAAAGAAGAGGGCAGGGAGGCAACGGGAGAGCAACCAAGGGGAATTTCAAACCAAACGCACTCATTTTTTTGTTGCTGACAGGACTTAGACAAATCAGCAGGTAAACAAATGTTAGGAAATAAAAGTTCCGTTTAACACACACATGTATGAAGGTTATATATAGAATTTATTCCATACATATAAAAACTTATTTTAGGTTATCTATGTGGTTCCTATAAATGTAGTTATACAGGAAGACACTTTCATACACATGGGATCTTTTCAAGAAAGACATCATTGGAACAGTCCAAGATGTAGGCGTTTTGGGGTTGCCTGGAAATTTATTCCTGTATCCTTGGTCATTTTAGCTTTTTCAGGCCTGCAGAGGGAGGCTCTGGAAGAAGCTTCCCATCTTCCTTAATAAACTAAAGGCCACATGAAAGCCTTTGTCAGAGAGGCCAACCTAAGGCCCCTCATCACCTGAGGAGTTACCTGGTGACCTCCACCAAACAGCGCATTCCAATCTCCCCTAAATTAAGAGCTGTATCAATGTATCTCCAAGATCTTTAACACTTCCTATACCTAAGCAAGCAACTCAAAAGAGCTAAGCTTCATTTTTAGTGCATTTCAATTTTTTTCAAATATTTACAAGCTTTGTAAGCAGAACAAAAGACAAGATACAAATAAGTTTTAAGCTTCTTTATTAACTTCAAGCAATTGCTGCTTCCCAACACCATCCACTCCAAGTTACAATTTGACACATACTGTAGAAGATTGGTCTTTTTCCAGCAGCCTCACAAACGGGTTTGCCTTCTGTGCAGGGATCAATATATATAAAGTTCTTCAGAGGTATAATGCCACTTACCCTATGTATGGAGATAAAGTATTATTAAGCAGGATTTAAAAGAATTATCATATTCTATTATCAAATGCTCTTGAACAGTTTTTAAAGTAGCATACACTATAGTTATACATATTAATATATAAAAATATTCTAACTGCCTATGGATCTCATTCTGCATTAAAAAAAAAAAAGGGAAAAAAAAAGCAGAGCCTTTCATTTCTGTCCTTGGGGGTTTGCATTAGGAAGAGCAAAGAGCATGGGCAGGGCTTGTCTAGATGCTTGGCTAACCTGACAGGTTAAACATGAAGCCGCTTTGCACCACTGGAGAAAAGGCGACAGAAGACAGCGTAGTAGATGTAATCCAAGTTTATGTATGCAGGATCAGCTACGTTTTTATGTATAGGAGGAACAGAGTAATTATCCTCCTTCACGGGTTAATTATCGCTGAAGAATAATTTAATGAGAAAAAATCTCTTGCATAGTTGTTTGACTTGTACCAAGCTGCAAGCCCCACAATTCAATTTACTGCAGTTTCACTAAGGGCTATGAGGGACAGGTACTGCCTAAACTGCACAGGTTCTCTGGCAGTGACAAGAAGACTTCTATTCCAGTGGCTTCTGAAGCCAGAATTCAAGATTCTCCATTGTTGCCAAAAGAAAACGGCAAAAGAAACAGGGCAGAGGACTCAAATCCCCTATTTATGAAAAATCCCGTATCAGCAAGTCTCCGGTTTATGAACAAAAAAAGCTGGACAGAATTAGAACAAGAAATGAACCTGCTTAAGCTGAAGAAAAAGACTGCATCAGCTGCTCAAATACCTTCTAGTTTAAAAAAACGTATTTTAATAAAAATGCTACACGCTTTCCTGAATGACAGGTTTTGTAATGGCCATTTTATCTTTTTAAGAAAATTGCAGTGAATGGCAATGCTTATTTACCTACATTCAATCACAATAAAAAAAAATCTTCAATCAGAAAATAAACAACCACCTCTATGTAACAGACACTAACACAGTAAGTATATTCTAAGAAGTAAGAATACAGCAGCAGTGTTAATGAATTACAAATTGCAATGCTGGAAACCAAAAGATTAGACAGAACTACATGAAGAATATTTTTCATATCTTTAATAGGACAGAAACCTTTGTTCATGTCTTCTGGTAGCCATCATCTTCCTTTGAGCTGCACCTACAACACAAAGAACAGGTAAACGAGCAACTTTATGCTTCTTCAGATTAGCTTAAGACAGTTCTGTAGGTATTAAGGTGCACTCTTTTCTACTGTATGTTTTTCTGTATCACCAACTCATTCCATTGCTCTGTATCTCTATGTTAAGAATAAAATACAAAGCAACAGAGAAAACAGGCTCTTACTACACCTGTGTAAAACTGCCATCAATCAGAAGGGCTGCCTAGGTTGTGCCAGGGCAAGTTGCTTTCTATATTTAACCAGCAAGCAACTAGTATTTCACTAAACGTGAAAGCTGCATTTCCTATTTCCTGCATGAGAAAGTACCTCAGTATTTGGAAATAAGAGCAGATTACTTTTTAAATAAAAATATTAGAATATAAACTGAGAAGAGACAGGTTGAAAGTTCCAAGGAGCAAATAAAACCACCCATCTCCTGCCTGCTTAGGTAGTTAGCTCATCACATCTCCTGGGTGGGGTATCTCCCACCAGCAGCATGACTGCTTTGTCTCATTTTTCCATTCTTGAGTGCACTAAGAGTGCATGACTGTTGCCATTATGTACCTAGATGGACACAAAAACCCTCCTTAGTTTAAAGCAGTATTATAAAATATATGAAACCAGTGGGTTCTGCACACTTTTTCAGAATACATTAATAAAAATGAAAAGATGAACTTCTTAATATTGTAAAATAGAATTATTAAACAGCAGTATGGAGCTGAAGTTTCATTTTTGGTCTCCTCATGTTGCATAACCAACTCACAAATGTTTCAAGCTGTTTTTAACTGGTTGCTAAATGTTTATCTACACATGCTGTCAGAAATAACCTTGTTAGGAAGGTGAAGTTGGTGTCTCAGCAAACCAGACCCATGGAGTAGGCGTTGGGTGGCCTGGGCCTCGCTTTCCTTTTTCTCTTTCAGCACCATCAAAAGGAAAAGTGAGAAAAACAGCACAAACATTAGTTAAATCCTGAATTTAATCTCATGTCCTACAGGAATAATTTCATTACAATGAAAGCAGACAGACAGTATCTGTAGAGTTTTTTGCTTTCTTTAAGCAGTGATAATTAGATACGTAATTAACATAGCTTATAGCACTCCCCCAAATCATAATTTTAATAAACCCTTTAATTAAAAGATTAATAGAAAAATGCAGGGGTGGTTCTTATAAATTACCTGATTTACCATCACTGAAGACAGATTCTTTTAAAAATGGCTACAAATGCCTTGTTCACAAAAGACTTTATTATCTAATGATGCATACTGAAAACATACAGAAATCTGCATGGTCCACTTTACATGCAGCAGAACAATCTTCACTTTACAATAAGTAAGTGTCAACTGTTTTATGCAAGAGACAACACTTTAAAGTCACATTTCTTAAAGAAAAGCTTCATTTACAAAAGAAATAAAAGGTAAAGAAGCAATTACCGCTTTTAAAAAGCAGCTGCTTTGTTCAAGAGTGGAAGGTTTATGCCTGTATTGAAAGACAACATGATCACAAATAATGAAAACAATGAACAAATGAAACACTTTTAGCATAAAGCAGTACACTTTCAAAATGACATACAAATAGTTAAAAACTTCATTATGTTGTCTATCTATCCTTTAGATATAAGGTCTTTCGAATGAGATCCCAACATAGGTAATTACTAAATGAAAACTCTTCTGTAAGTATCGGTTCTATGTCATAGTGAACTGTATTTAACAAAACGTATACAAAGTCTATAGCAAGTTGATTAAAAAAACTAAAGTAATAAGAAACAGTACACTGAAGGCGCTCTATCCATCAAGTGCGCGCTCTCAAAATTTTAAGTGTGATGAACAGAACAGAAGTTGTAACTATGCCACAGTCGTAATGCCAGAAAATAAAACAAGATCATTTCTCAAACATGCAGGGAATTCTGCCACAATGCTATTGCCTCTCATTTGTCAGTTGTTCCAGTAAAATAACAGCTTAAACACCGGTGATGCTGATGGGTTAGCTTACCTTCAGTGTACTGAAAGTTGTACACAACCTGCTTTAAAAGAGGAGACCATCCCTGCGGGCAGGCTCAAGAAGGAACAGGCCCCCTTCGGCACTGACTACACCAAGGGCATGCTGCTGTGGCCTGCACACACACACCTAGGAAAACGTGAATATAAACAGCATTTATGCTGGCCATTTTTTAAAGACAAAAAATGAAGCCAAGTCTGCTAAAAACAAATCAACCACCCAGTACTACTGCTCTTCTTCTTTTTATAACAGATGCTTTCTTTTTATAATATATACGAACTGCAACGATATACATTAGCATTGTACTTCTGTGCAGTCTTGGCAATTAAAACAGTTCTACAGTGAAAATTTTCACATAAGACACAAAACAGAATTACTCTAACATTTCTAAAAGAAATATCAGCCTTGATGTTAATTCAAATGTATCATTTCTTCCTCAACTTTGCGGGGGAAATATTTATGTTTATATACATTAATAACTGCTGTGAAATTTCTTCAGTCTTTGTATCTTAATTACTCAAACCCTTTGAACTTCTTCATCTGGTTTATATTTTTTCCTGGATGAAGGCGTGTTGAAGAGCCTGGTTGATGCTAATCCGTTTAGCCGGGTCTAACATTAGAATCTGGTCCAACAAGTCCTTGAGCTGGTGCACTTTTTTGCGCTGATCTTCAGGGAGTCGTTGGCACCCAATCAAGTCTGCTAACAGGTCCTTGGTTGGATTAATGGTGCTCATAACAGTAACTTTCTCCTATGGATACAAAAATGGTAACCTTGTAGAGCAGAAGTAGTGCACGAAACCCCCTTGGTTTTACAGGGCTTAAGGAGCAACTTTTCTGCTGGTTTTGTCTGATCAGCTCCCCAGCCTGGTTCATCCTATGGCCTCACAAATCCTCATACAGGCAAAGGGAAAGTGCGGGAAAAAAAGCAGCTGAAAAAGGCCAGACTATTTTTCATATCAACAGTAGGTGTAGACGACCCTAAAGCCTCAGTTAACTGAGAACATAATCAAGACTGCAGAGAAAGCATCCCACATTGGATCAGTAACTCTAGGATGGCTGACATGTTTCCAATGTTAAAACTGCATGGAAAGTAAGAACGATCTCCTACAGCAAGCAGGTTGCACTTAAGTTGGGCTTTCTTCGCAAACAGGAGGACAGAATATTTTTATCAGTAATTTCAGGACAGCTTATATGAAGACATGTTCATACCTAAAAAGATGAAAATCTGATTTTTCTTAAACACCAAATTACTTAATTATAGAAAAAAATGTTTATTGCCGGATTATACCTATGTACCCTGTACACACCGCTTCCACAAGACATGTTAATACCTTCCAAAAATCTTATTTTTAAGAAGGTTGAAAGCACCCCTGCAACAGAAAAACTCTGAAAAAGTAATAATTTAGTTGAATATTAAAGGACTTACCCTTTCTGTCACTTTATCTACTTCTATGTACATAAAGTTGAGATTTTGATCAAAGTGCTGATCTTTGAACACACCTTTTCGAATCATCTGGAAAATAAGGGACGCAAAAGTTTGAGCTAAGTCGCTAAGTCCCCCAAGTCCTACAAATTCCACAATTAACATCAACATCTGCTGACTGCAACATGAATAATTTAATACTTCTAAAAATATATTAAAAGGACAGCGAGAAATGTCTAGAGATTGAATGAAAAATAATACAGTTCAAACTAGTTGAAAAAGGACACAGTATCTTCCATTGACTTACGTATTTTTTTCAGGTCAGTGCTTAGAAGGTTTCTGCTTTCACTTTCTACTTAGTCTATGAAAAAGAAGCTGTACACTTTCACTTCATAAGATTTTAAATCAATATAAATTATACAGTCAGAGGGATGTCTGATATTTACTGGCTGTTAAGAGAAGATGTATATGATAAGAAACAGAATTAAAGGAGAAAAAAAAAAAGAAAGTATGTTCAAGTCAGTGAAAATTATAAACTTGCTTTCTTACCTTGTTTGGCATCTTTCCTTTGAGATCCATGGCTAATTTCAGCATATGGTTATTGGTTTTGCCAGGAAAGAGTATTTTTCCTGTATAAAGCTCATATAACGTGCAGCCTACAGACCACATATCTATACCATAGTCATACATCTTTCCTATAACTGAAACAGAGCAAATCAAGTTAATCCCCATAAAGGCAGCTATAAAGGTACATATCACAATAGTAAAGAGATGAAAAAATATTCTGATTTGGAAACTATGTTGGTGCTCCTGCTCTTAGGAACATCAGAGCACCATAAAAGAAGGAAGCAACTCTTCTCATTTTACAGGATACCTGTCTCAGAAAGGTGTTTTTTTTTTAAAAAAAAACAAAAAACAAAAAACTTAACACGTCATCTAGTCGCCACAAATTAAGTTGTTAAAAAACAAAGTCAGGGCAATACCTCTGCTTAAAACAAAACTATCACCAAGTACAATGATTTCGCCCTGTCCTCATTGGGCTGACCACCAACATACATGAGAGTCGAACAAACATGCTTAAAAGGTTTGAACTTCTGACTAGCATAGATTGCCAAAGGGCTGTTATTCTGTGACCTGGCAGGGATAAACTCCAGGCAAATTCTCATTTGCTCATAGTGGTACATCCTGCGACTGCTTACGATGAATGTGGCCAATCTGAATTTACTTACTGATTTCAGGAGCGCGATAAAATCTACTAACAAGATACGGTGTGATATCATTATCTGCAACATGTGAAGCTGATCCAAAATCACAAAGCTTTAATATAGTTTTTGATTCATTCACCTGCAAGTTAGAAATAAATATAGATTAGCACTGTTTGAAGAGAGCACTGCCAACAGCCCTGTGCAATTAACAATGCATTCATGTCAGAGGGAAGACAAACATCCAGCCTTCAACTTTAAAATTCTTCCCAGGTTTCACTCCTTCTCTCTATTCTAAAGAAACAGTAAAGCCTTCTTCAAATGAGGAGACAGTTAATGTCTTCAAATCACACAAAGTACCAAAAAGATGACTTGTGTACTTCTGCCTTAGTTACTATTTTGCGTTGGGTTATTTCATTATTTCTACCCGAATCAAGTGTATTTTAGGGTAGGCAAAAAAGAAAACTATGAATTTTATTTAACGGCATTTAACTGCATCTGTAAAGATGGCAAAAATTAAACACAAAA